GTACCTAATATAGATTTAAAAATTCCAAATTAATACAATTGGATATGTTTATTTTAACCCCGTTTTTCACATTGCATTTGCTAGGACTTCAGCAAATATTGACAAGTAAGATGACATTGATTGCTTAACGAGTTTGTATCATTTAAGTCAATACAATGATTTAGCCACCTTCGAAGTACAATATTCAATATATTTATATTATACTTCTCAGGTGTTTAAATCGTCGTATTGACCTCAACAGCAATGATTGTACAGTCATTGAGGTATTCCGAATCACCTTTAACATTTTGACTGCGTTATACCATGTAATTTAGAAATATGATAAAATGAACCACAGCGCTTTTTGTCGCATTAAAACTGTTTTGAATCTTATCCATACCTGAATGAATTCCTGATTAAAATGTGAGAATTTCACAGAAATTTCTATTTTAAGTAGCCAAGGAACAATATTTACAATATCTTGAAACCAGTGTTCAGAATTATTGATGATTTCTTGCGTATCCAGTTTTATTAAAGTAAAACCAAAACTGCAGGGACAGTAGCGTTTTATAAGAATTTCTCAAAAATTTGTAATTGTAGGAACCCTGGCAACATCGTTCATGGAAATCAGAATGATGTATTTTGGTGTACATCTGTAGTCGACTTATCAAAATCAAAATAAGACTTTAGGATGAATAGCATTTTTGAAAGAATTTTACAGAAATTTGTATTTTTGGTAACTATGGTTACATCATCAAGATAAACCTCTATGGTCTCATTGAAAATATATCGAAGAAATTTCAATTTCATTCATCTATTCTTTAAGCGTGATTCACGGTATATCCGCGTATCATACTACTCCATTTACATATACATATTATACAAAGCACGTACATTGCAAAAGAAATTCAAAATCCGTTCTCTCACTATAAACTTTTCTTTACAGGTTATATGTACTTAAGCGCCGCACGTAACTTTTTGTGTTTTGCACAAGCATAAACTAGCACGGGCGCGGACCCAGGAATTTTTCAGGAGGACGGATTCCACTCCAATTCCCCCAAAAAATCCAACCCAGAAATTTGTTGACCCCCCCCCCTCTGTGAATAAACTTATTCCGGGTAGGCAGGTGGGAAGTGTTGAGCCGCTTTCCTGCTGACTCTTTTTTCAACCATGGTCCTGCTGGACACCTCACTACAAGTGATGTTAGTATAGTTGAAAATGACGACCTAAAAGCACACAAAACGATCTAACTTCATTTCTGTTATGAATTTTATGAAAGATTATGCCAAACGTTGGCGAAATATGAATTTAAGGAGAAGACCTGAACACTTTTTTTTAAAGAATGGATTAAGTGTTTTAGAAATATTTTAAAGAATCGCATTAAAAGTTAAAAGACAGTATGCGAACCATCTATCCTTCTGTTTTTCACTAAAACGGAGGTGATAAAAGACTACACGAAAAATATGTCATGGTCCCACAAGACAAGGCTTTAACAATATCATCTTTCTTTATAAGGCTCATTATTATAACTTTATTTTTGAAAAACTTGGTTTGAATTCTGCATCTGGAAATCCAGATTATACTCACAGTTCACTTTCTATGGATGAAATTCTTCAAAATCACATTTCAGTGCTTGAGTTTTTAATATTTTTTGCATTCCAGTCAACGAAGGTGAGTTCGATCTACCCTACCTATACTGGATTCCTAAACTTCATAAAAAATCCTTACAAATATACATTGCAGGGTCCAGCAAATGCTCTACCAAGCCCCTATCTCTACTCCTCACAAAAATATAAACTGCTGTAAAGGAGAAGCTTCAGAAGTACTCTGCTATAGCATCTTTGAGAAGTGATGTAAATCAAATGTGGATTTTCAAAAACTCCAGAGAACTTTTTGAACGTTTTAAAAATCACAATTTTTTCAGAAGTCAATAACATCAAAATACATGACTTTTTTCATCATCGATAGCCAAGGATTTCTGATCCGCTACCTCACAAACCCTTGGTTCACGATAAATTAAAACTAGACTTTTTGATATCATAGACAACTGCCTCTTCAATACAAATGGAACTCTAATATTTTCATATCTTTTGGTTGGTCATCAACAAATTTCTTTGTTAAAAAATACTGATTCTACACATACATGTAAGTACTCTGAGGTTGATATTAAGGGATGGTGGAGTTACTTATTGACAGCACCTACGTAGTCTTTGGAGACAATGACTTCCAACAAACTGTTGGAATTCCAATGGGCACTAAGTGTTCTCCTTTGTTAGTCGACTTTTTTTTTTATATTCCTATAAAGCAGAATTTATTCAAACGCTTCTACATGAGAAGAAAAGACTTGTAGCCTTCAACTCAACATTCAGATACATCGACGACGTTTTATCAATTAATATTTACATTTTCAAACGACTTTGTCCGAGATAAAACTATAAATAAGGTAATAGCTTTATATCCTCATAAAACGATTGGCTCAGCACGTGACAGAACTCCATGCTTTCTCGCTGTGTGTTGCTTAGTAAAACACTGGGCAGAAGTGCAGAGACTTCTCATTATTAGTGAGACCTGTACCTGACACTTATGGCCTCTGAGCAGTGAGGGACCTTTTTCGTGCCAGCACCTTCTGCAACATGGAACTTCAGTTTAAACGGAGTTCCCATGTCGCAGTAGGTATTGGCGAAGAGAGCAATATAATCCAAGAATTCGAGCAATACATATGCGCGCAATAATTGAATTGTTGCTCTTTTAAAAAAAAAAAATGAAATACTTGCTCCCCGGCTTTAAGACTGTGCATGCATTTTAAAATTCTTCAGACAAAGGACTATATTCGGTAATTACCAATACCCCCCCCCCCCCCAATTCAAACTTTGACGGAGGGTTATATAAACAGGGGGTATCTGCTGACTTCAAAAATCAAATAATTTCATCAGCCATGACGTCATATGTTAGATAAGACGTCAGGAAAGTGACCTAAGTTCAAAATTATCATTTTTTACAGAGAAAAGGGTATTTTGAGTAAAAGTCACTGAGCGCAAATCTGTTCCAACTCAATGTTTTGATGATAATATCAATGAAATATATGAATATTGTTATGGAGCAGGTCTGCGCTCTGTATAATATACATGTAGTAAAAATTGAACAAATTTGGTCAATTTGTCCTCTTTCTGAAAAATAACACAAAATCCAAATAGTTTGTGACGTATAAGCCCGTAGAAAGCAATTTCAGTTGGGGGGAGGGGGGGGGGCACAGCCATACATTTTCAGTTGGGAGGGCACTAATCAACTACCAAAAATTCCTTGACCAAAAAAAAAAGTCATCAGACATTGAGGGGGCACGAGCATATAGTGGCAATGTTTTCTATAGTAATCTATATATCGGCAAAATTATTAGGGGGCACCCCCCCCCTCCGTGTCCCCTTCCGGTTCCTACGACCATGAGGTCGTAGAAACAAAAATTGCCAATAACCTACTTCAAAACTATACTATTTTTTATTAATTCAGATTTTTCATACAATATATATATACATGTAATTCAGCACATTTCAAAAAATTTCAAAATTTGTTTTTGTGGGGGCAAAAATATCCATTTACCGCATATATAGCTCTTTGCAGGGATGTACAATTTTTAAAAATACCGAAAAGATCATTTATACCGAAATCTAAATCAATTTTTCGCAAACAATAAATAATCAGGGACATAAACAACACACTATTCAAACATAATTATATGTTATGTAGGGGCTATATTTTTCTTATTAAAAGAAAAATAGGTGACGTCAGGTGCCTGTGGAAGAGATATATGTGTGATATAATATTGCATGGAATGGTTAAAACTGTAATCTATGGAAGCCTTTTGAGGCTAGTTCAAAGGGAAAAAATTTATAGTGCTTTAAAATCAATATATGTTCTTTGCGTTTAAACGCAATAATTGTTGGTTTTAATAATTAAATAATTATTGCATTTAATACACGCAATGAGTTTAATATTTCACTGATAAAGAGAATAATCTCTGCATATAAACGCTGAAAAGTATTTTTGCGTTTAATCGCAATAAAAAAACTTCTTTTTCTTTTTAATCTTGAACTGACCTCAAAGAGCATCCGTAGTAATCCGCATGCTTTTATTTTTTCTTGAATTTAGATATATGTCAATTCTACAGAAAAAATTTTGAAGGGTTAAACAGTTATCATTTACACAAAGGAAGTTATAGGCGGATCCTGATTTCTCGCATAATTTATACTAGTGATTATACATACACAGTCCTTGCACTATGGTTCCCTTTTTAGCTTACCTTCTGATCACCCGTTGCCCGACGTCGATCTGCCCGACTGTACCTCTTTTTTTTTCTTTCTTTTTTTTTTTTTTTACATTTTCGACTTCCCTCAAAAACCATTGTATGAGTCAATTTTAACCAAAGTAGGCACCAAACCCTTTTGCTTATAGGGGATTCTAAATTATTCAAGTCCCCTTCTAAAGGGAGATAATGAAGAAAAGGCAAAAATAGGATGGGGTCATTAAAAAAAAATCTTCTCAAGAACTTAGCCAGAAAAGATGAAACTTATGTGAAGGCTTTCTGAGCTAGTTTAGATTCTAAATTGTTCAAATCTTGGTCCCGGAGGAGGGGGGGGGAGGTTGGGATTACCTTAGGGAATCAATTTAAAGTTTTTACATTGATAGGAAAAATCTTTTAAAACTTCCCAAGAACCACTGGACCAGAAAAGATGAAACTTAATTGAAAGCTTCGTGAGATATAGATACATATGTTTTAACTTTGTTCAAATCATGGCCCCGGGATAGGGTGTGGCCACAGAAGTTTTATATAGGAACATATATGAAGAAATATTTTGATAAGAATACATATTATATAGGGGAACTGTTGATGAAGAAACAGTAGCGCCAAAGTGACTCAGGTGAGCGTTGTCGCCCATGGACCTCTTGTTTTAAAAAGAATTCAAAGAGAGTTCAAGCATGCGCAAAAGTGGTAAAATACTTGTAAACGAAAACAATAATGGTGTCAAACGCGGGGCGACGTCGACGTGAATCTGCTCAAAAAATGAGAAAGCTTAATGCAGACAGACAGCGGAGTAAACAAAGAGTTTACATTGGAGAACACTTTCAAACTTGGAACCAGCTTCGAAAGGATTTAGGCTTTGATTATCATCACAAATTGGCAGGATTTCTCCTGGAGTTGTAAGTTGTTTTGTTTTTGTTTTTTGGCCTCGATGTCAGTCAAAGCGCCCCTCAAGAAATCCACCCCTGTTAAAGCGTCCCACAAATGTTGATGAAAGCTAGAACCGCATGTCAGAATATGGTAAGATTTTCAGCTCATGTAAGCCAAAGGTTCAAAGGGAGGTTTTTCTGATCAAAGTGTGTCTGGTAAAATATCTTTTTCACATTTTCGACTTCTGACTCAACCAATTTCAGCCAAACTTGGCACTGAGCATCCTTGGTTGAAGGGGCATTCAAGTTTGTTCAAATGAAGACCCATGCTCATTTAAGAGGGCTAGCGATTATGAAGAAAAGCAAAAATTAATATGGTGGGTGTCTAAAATTATAGAAAAATATATTCATCTCAACCAAACTACTGGGATGGAAGATTAAATATGAATTCAAAGCTTCCTGCCAGTGCAGATTTAGGTACATGTATGTTCATGCAAATCCAGACCCCTGCATAGGTGTCGGAAGCAAATTGAAAGTGGGGTGGCTAATTGAAAGGGGGGGGGGGCTAACCCAATGAAAAAAGGTAAGCCCCAATTTTCAATGCCTATATTATATTGTCTATCTTTGCAAAAAAAGTGGGGGGGGGGGGGGGCTAAGCCCCCCTAGCCCCCGGTTCCGACGCCTATGCCCTGGGTAAGGATTATAGGGCCACAATAGGAGAACAAAAGTTTAACCAGGAAAATATAAGGGAAAATCTTTAAAAATCTTCTTTTAATTATTAACAGCAATATTTAAAGCCAATAATTGCGCATTCCCAAGTTGTCTTGATTCAAGTTTGTTTAAATTTAAATGACACATGGGTAGGGTGTGGATAAAGTCTTAGTAGATTGCTTCCAGTCTGGGCAACATTTTGTAGAAAAATTGTAATGAGATATGTCAGTCATGACAAAAAGGACGTTATCTTGAAATCCCAAATTCGAAGAATTGCATTAATTTATACAAACATGTACATGTGTATGAGTGTCATAAATTTAAATAATGCATAATCTCATGTATGTAGATGCACATTTATTACTTATACAGTGTAATTTGGAATGTTTGTTTCAGTTATTTCCATGCCAAAAAAGGAGCTCCACCACCTGAGAGTAGTTCATTACAAACTTCTATCCCATCTCAGCCTAGAGAAACAGAATATTGTGGAAGGTAGGATATATCAAAGAAAACTTGTCATGAAGTTAATGCATTAATCTGTTAGATTTATCGTGTTTACCTAGAATTTCTCTATCAGAGCTAGAGGCTCTGGGATAGAAAACAAGCACAACTCCTTGATATAAATCTCATGCATCCAATCACAGAACTATTCACTTTTTTACCAGCATTTTCAATATTGTAAATACTAGAATTGTAGATCGAATTTGAATTGCTTTGGCACTATTCTTAGAATGCTTGCTAATATACAAACCTCTGGTGTGCAGCAACACTAGCTAAGTGAATGTTTCTGATGCACTACTCTCTCCACAAACCATTGGTCTATCATGCCATTAAAAGTCAGGATTGTCTACCTCATTACACAGCTTGCTTCATGAGTGTTTTTATAACCCGGACAAACCAAGTTTGGGGGTATATAGGAATCACTTCGTCTGTCTGGGCTATAACTTTGTAATGGAGAATTATAATCGGAAGTTCATACTTGGTATAGAGATTGGTTATGACTCAAGGCATATCATCTGGCAAGTCCAAGGTCACTGATAGAAAAATTATAAAATTCTTGTCTTGGCTATAACTTTGTAATGGAGAATCATTGGAAGCTCATACTTGGCACAGAGATTGTTTATGAAGAGAGGGTGTGTCACAACCTTAACCTAAGCTCATTGTGGCCAATGCAATGTCACTGGTATAAAACATGTAAAATTCATGTCAGGTGTATAAATTCTAATGTAAAAACACTGGATTTGCATTTTTCACTAAAAGGTTATTTATAACCAGAAGATGTGTCAATTTTTTAACTAAGGTCTTTCTGACAAGTTCAAGGCCACATTTACAAAATATAAATGGGCCATTTGTGCGGTGTGCGTCAACTTTTTAGAATATGGGCCATAACTCAAGAACCCTTTGGCCAATTTTTGTCAAATTTGTCACAGAGTATCCTTGGCCCAAGGGTGCCCATTTATACTTTAACTAGGGATGTGATCCTTAAACAAGGGGAGATAATTAGGAAAATAAAACCAAAAGTACTGGTTGCTAAAAAACCTTCTTCTCAAGAACCACTGAGCAGATTATATCCAAACTTACATACAAAGATGAGGATATGTTGAAGATTAGAAGTTGTTCAAGGCATCACCCTAGGGCAAAGGGCGTGGTCTCAAATTCATTGCAAAGTTAACCAAAAATTATGTTTTATTAAAACATTGATATTTTGACTACCGGGGGTACTATAAGGACTAGGATCATCAATTCTCGTCAGTTGATGCATCTTAGGATGTTATATCATGTTGACTCAAAAGTAGGTCATGATGATCTACTTTTTGAATTTTGCGTGCATTCTTTTTCAAATTGATTTAGAGGCATATTTTGGACACTGTAAGGCATGGATGATGCATCTAGGGATGGACACAACCACATTTGCTTCGGATGCTGGATCTGACTTACATATTCCAGATGAGTGACCAGGTTAAAGTTTTTGGAGCAGGTTCATTCCCAAGTAACTATAAGCCCTACCTGGACCAAACTTGCGTGGTTGATGCATCTTGGGATGTACGCTAACCAACCTGCTTCGGATGCTGGATTTGTCCTAGATTTTCCACATGAGTGAATTTTAGCCATATTTTAACCAAATTAGCATGGATGATGTAGCAGGGATAGACATTAACTTTCAGATTCACTTGCCCTTTAGGCAAGTGATCTCAAACTTTGACTTGTCCGAATGCAAAACTTTGTTGCCCAGAATTAGGAAAGAACTTTTGAAAAAAAGAAAATTATTAATCACTGTAAATGTTATGATAAGAAAAAATGTGACAAAATACACTACTGTAAATTTGGCAAGTTTAGCTACCTGAAAAAAATTTTGATGCTGCATCTGTACATAAATATATACCACTGTACTTGTGAATTTAACCTTTTAACACACACTTTCATGCAGCAATATCATTCCGTTTCCTTTTCATAAAATTCATATTTTAAAAAAAATTATTTTCGGTAGGATCCTTTTGTGAATCGTGACTTTTGGAGATAACTGTGAAGCAACGCTAAAGGAAGATAGTTGCTACGAAACATACATCTTATCTTGATCAGGATACATCGTGTTACACTGTACTTATATTCTGTGCGTGAATAAATAATCTAATTTCCTATTTAAGAAGTTAACAAAATTTTGTTAATAGACGTAGAGTGTATTTACTACGAAAGAAAGTAACGAACCCGATTTTTAATGAACGGTATAAACCAGAAACGCTACCAAGGAATTCCGAATGCAAAAACATTGTCATCCAGGTGCGTGTGGATATCAAGTGTTCAATTTATTGTGTTATTTATAAATTAATGTAAACTAAATAAATATGTACATTTGTATAAGAAAAATTCACTTGCCCGATCGGACAAGTACGTCGACAATTTCACTTGCCCGAACTGAGAATTTACTTGTCCCAGGCAATCGGACAACTGTTAATGTCGATCCCTGTGTAGCTAGGGATGGTCACTTCCAGACTTGCTTTGGATTCTGAATCTGACCTACATTTTCCAGATGAGTGACCAGGATAATTTTGTTGGAGTAGCTATATAACATTATGGCCTGATTAAACTTGCATAGATGGTGCATCTAAGGATGAAAACTTCCAGACTTTGGATGTTGGAACTGACCAAAATTTTCTTGATTAGTATACAGGATAAATGTTTTTTGAACAGGTCTATTTCCAAGTAACTGTAAGTTGTACTTAAACCAAACTTGCATGGATATTGATCTTGGGATGTACACTAACTAAAAAAAGAATATGATGTGAAATTTGCCTTACTTAAGATAACATTCGTTGAGGTGAGCTTCGTAATCTTTGATTACCTATGTTTGAATTTTATGGCTAATCTTTTTGAAAACATTAAAGGTCATTATTTCAGATACTGAGAGGTTAAGAATCATCAGACCTTGGAAGTTGATGCATCTTGGGGTCTTAAAACAGATTTATCAGAAAGTAGGTCACAGTGACCTACTTTTTTGAATTTTGCGGGCATTCATTTTCAACTTGTTTTAGAGGCATATTTTGAACACTTTAAGGCCTATGATAATCAAACTTTGTCAGTTGATGCATCTTGGGTCCTCTGAGAATGTCAAATGAAAAGTAGGTCACTGTGACCTACTTTTGAAATTTTATGGCTGTATTTAAATATTTCTGATACTAATTGGTTTAGTCATCAAACTTTGTCAGTTGATGCATCTTGGGTCCTCTGAGAAGGTCAAATGAAAAGTAGTTCACCATGACCTACTTTTGAAATTTTATTGCATTTTAAAAATATTTAAGGTACTGATTGGCTAAGAATCCTCAAACTTTGTCAGTCAATGCATCTTGGGTCCTTGGAAAATGTTATCTGAAAAGTAGATCACCGTGACCTACTTTTTATATTTTATGGCTATACTTGAATATTTCTGGTACTTACTGACTTAGAGTCCTCAAACTTTGTCAGTTGATGCATCTTCGGTCCTTGGAAAACGTCAACTGAAAAGTAGGTTATTGTGACCTACTTTGAAATTTTGTGGCTATATTTAAATATTTCTGGTACTTATTGACTTAGAATCCTCAAACTTCGTCAGTTGATGCATCTTTGATTCTCAGAGAATGTCAACTGAAAAGTAGGTTATCGTGACCTACTTTTGAAATTTTATGGCTATATGTAAATATTTCTGGTACTTATTGTCTTAGAATCATCAAACTTTGTCAGTTGATGAATCTTGGGTCATCAGAGTGTGTCAACTGAAAATTAGGTCACTGTGACCTGCTTTTGATATTTTATGGCTATATTTAAATATTTCAGGTACTTATTGGCTTAGAATCATCAAACTTTGTCAGTTGATGTATTGGGTCCTCAGAGTGTGTCAACTGAAAATAAGGTCACTATGACCTTGTTTTGAATTTTTTCGGCTATATTTAAAATATGTGAGGTAGTAATTGGCTTTGAATCATCAAACTTTGCCATTTTATGTATTTTGAATTCTCAGAATATGTCAAGTAGAGAGTAGGTCAAAGAGATCTACTTTTGGAATTTTCAGGCAATATCTAAATATTTTAAAATATGAGAAACTTAAAATCATCAAATTTTGTCAATTGATGCATTTCGGGGTCTTGGAGTGTCTTTTCTAAAAAGTAGGTCACTGTGACCTACTTTTGGAATCTCAAGGCTCTATCTGAATATTTAAGATAGTAAGGGGCTTAGAATCATCAAACTTTATTAGTTGGTGAATCTTTGGTTCTCAGAGTGTTTTAACCAAAATATAGGTCATTATGACCTATTTTTGGAATATTCTAGATACTTATAGGCTTTAAATAGAAGTGATAGGTGGTACAATTTATCAGAAGAGCTATTCAAGGCCCTTGGGCCTCTTGTTGTCTTTCATTCCCAAGACTATATATGGAGTCAAGAAATATCCTGGCAGAGATAAGGCCAATCCAATTTTTTTCTATGTTTAGCGTCCACAGACAGATTGATTTTGAGGTTATGAAATTATAAACACACAAATTAAAATCAACAAATACAAATCTTTGTAACACAATTTACTCTTGGGATCGGCATCTCTCTTTTTTTTTGAAGGGTACTATTTTTTTTCCTTTCAATAAACCAGTAGTTTAACTCAGTAACAATGTGAGAAGAGTTCTCAAATGAAGAGAAATTAAGATATCGATTAATTCTAGAAGAAATCTCAAAATGTTGTGTTTTTCCCCCTTTGGTTTGTGTGTTTTCCTGGATAGAAAGATAAGTTTTCAAATTTAGGATGGATGCTATTAAAACAAAGAAACAGCTTTGAATGGCCTGACATCATATACTAAAGCTTTGCTATACACTTGCTGATTGGTCAAAAAATATCAATAAACTACAATCACACTTCAAGAAAAAAAATATGTACTTTTGATAACCCAAGAGTTTGCAAGGAGATTAGTGGATTAGAAATGCTTGGCAGAAGATGTGTATCCTATAGCTTTGATATATATATATTTTCTGTAGATTCTACAATGAAAACAATTATGGGAAAACGCTTATAGATTTTGAGGTATCTTTCTCAAAAGTCAAGGTAAAGGTCTAGTGTATTTTCATGACAATTGTAAGGCAACAAGGATTGATATATCTTATAATCTAGATGATGCACATAACACACATATACTTTAGATGATGCTTCTGTCCTATATTCTTGATTTTCAGATGACTGGCTAGATTTAAAGTATTTAAAGCTGAGTGAACTTCATTCCCAAGTTTTTATAACCCTTAGTAGGACCAACCTTGCATGGATGATGCATCTAGGGATATACACTGCCAGACAGGCATTGGATGCAGCATCTGACCTACATTTTCTAGATGATTTAACATGTTTAAGTTTTTAGAAGAGGTAGATGCAAAAGTAGCTTGTGACTAGAAGTGTGTCTTGCCTCTGTACCAAAGTCATGTATATGAGATGAGGGTTACATAGTACAAAAGTGATACACTGTAATAGGTAAATTTTCCCTAGCTTGAACTTTAAAATGAGGAAACATTGGAAACTTATACTTGAGATAAAAATTGCTTGCTCAGTGGTATGTCCTGGTGCAGGTTATTTGGACAAGGTCAATTTCTTGGATTTCAGAAGTGTAAAAGTCTTCCCATAGCCAAAATCTTGCAGCAGTAGACACATGGTTTTTTTTGTATGTTGTTTAATGTCCCTCTGGAGAATTTTTCACTCATATGGAGACACCACCATTTGCTGGTGGAGAGCTGCAAATTTTGTCCTATACTCGGCACTTACTGCCATTGAACAGTGAGGGATCTTTTTCGTGCCAGCACCTACTGTGACACGTGACGTCAGTTTATACGGTCTCATCTGAAAGATCGGTCTCCATGTCCCACAGTGGGATTCGAACCCGCGACATAAGGATCAACTTACTTCGCGGCTCTAGAGCAGACGCTCTAACCACTGCGCAATGCAGGCGACGTAGACACATGGTAGAGTATTGAAATACATCTTAAGCATAAAGGTAGCTTGTGATCAGGAGTTTTGAAGTTTAAAATTCTTGTCCATACTTGAATTTTTTATGTAACATGTTTAATGGATTGGAACAACATCAGTAGATCTCAGTAACACTATGTGTGATTTTTTGCAAAAATATCCCATTCATTTTTTGAAATCAATTCAATCAGTACTTGTAATTTAATGCACATTTTAATATTTTCATTAACAATTTCATCTTTTCTCAAAAAACGTGTTTCAAATGAACAAGCAACCGTAACTCTTGTTATAAACCCGTAATTATTCTTAAGGTCTGGTGACACATTCCTCAAAAATCTGTTTTGTTTCTTCTTGTAATATGTAAAAAATATTCACAATATTAACATTATCTTGTGATTTCTAAACTGTTTTCAAAAGGTCTTAGAAAAAAATTACAATACAAACTGTGATATTGACAATTCTTGTGATTTCAAATAGTACATAGGAAACATCACCCTCTGGTATCTTGCACAAATGCCTGGTAAGGTACCTCAATTTTTTGTGAGAAAACTTGTTAAAGCAGTAGTACTTCAATGACAAATTCTTGGGAAAAATTATACATTATTGAGAAATGTGTCATCTGACCTTAAATATATACTTATTTTGGTTTGTGAACATAACTATGATTTGAGTTGTGATATTAAAGTACAGTTTATAGTTCAGAGTTTTGTTATTTAGAGTTTTGAATTATAGTTTTGACTAATAAGCTAATATTTACAGCCATAAACTATAGTTTTGTTATCCTTATATCAGAAGGTTACAACAAATATTATGTATGCTATGAAATATAACTGTTAAGTATGCTGATACAAATTAAAACTAAAAATAAAGCACTTTGATGACCGTGAATATTTCTTCTGCAGAGTTGCCAATTCTCCTTCATCTTTTCATGAAGCGGACACTAGCCAATATCCTATTCTTTTACCAAGTATCCAGGAAACTGCCATAAATGTTTTTGCTTCCTCTGAAAAGGAAAGCCCTGAAGTCACTGCAAAGAGAGTGCCTCCCTCCAAAAAGAAGATTCCTCTTGCCATTGCGCAGAACACCACTTCCCACCAAAAGGTCACTCCTAAGAGTACTGCTTCCTCCCGCAAAAGAAGCAGGGTAGCCATTCCGAGGAGTACTGATCTGTGTATCGAGGAAGGACCTGAAGATGACTTAAAGCCACCTTTTTCTTATGCTCAGTTAATTTATCAGGCTATTATGTCTACAGAAGACCAACAAGTAACACTAAGTGGCATATATGATTATATAAAGAATACTTACCCATACTACAGAAGGGCAGAAGAACAAGGCTGGAAGGTATGTGATACAAGTATAAATCATATAGTCAAACCACATTATCTCTAACTCAATGGCACCATGAAAAAACTTCCAAGATATTCAAGGGTTTGAGATATTGAAAGAAACTGAGGGAAATGCATGTATGTAGAGACAGTGTGAGCCACAATTTTACGTTGAAATGAAATAAAGATATGTATTTTTAACCCAGAAAGAAGTTGGGGATGGTAAGGGTTTACAATGCAAAACAAACTGAGGTGGCACACCGCTCTTGCTTATTTATGTGTATTGGGGTAGTTTTTGTATGGAACAATTATTTTAGATTTTCCCAATTTTTCCTTTGGTATGCATAATAGATGGGTATAATGAAGATAATTTATGAAAAAAGTTCAACAAGCCCAAGGTTGAATATCGGGGAAGGGGTTGGGGTTGGGGTGGGGGGTTCATTGGCTCAAAGACTTCTTTTTATTCAAGCTCAGATGACACAACAGAACTGTTCAGGATTATTAAAAATGTTCCTATTATTTTTCCACATGCATTTATCATCAATGACTGCTAGTAAATGAACTCATTTCCAAGCTAAACCCAGCCCATGTAATCAATGACTGCTAGTAAATGAACACAATTCCATAAGCTAACTCAGACCATGTAATCAATGCAGATATTGTCAACATACAGTTTAAACACAATCCATAGATTAAATAATTGTCAGTTGTTTATTTTACTGAATTTAAGCTTATATTTTGATTTCCACTGCCTTTGATTTAAATTCTTCAAAAAGTTATGTTAGTTTATGTAAGTTACTAAACAGTAAAAAATTCCTACACCAAATTAGCATAAATTAATATACATTAGCGTGATTCTCTTGTTTACTAAAATTCTTTCAGTTCATTATACATGCATCAATTAAAGGCAAGTCGTCCTTGAGGTAAATGTGGTTAACAAATGCTAATTATAGACACTATTGTTTTGGAGGCCACAGGTAGCTGTCATCAAACAGACTGCATGGCTAATGTAATGACAATTATCATTGTCAAGAAAGGTGTGAAATAGTCGTTCTCCGGATTAATGACTCATTGTTAGACGGTGGTTATATACATGTATAGCCACAGTCTTATGCTGTCATTCTGGCTTATGAATAAACAACAGTGTTTTCTCATGGGGACCCTAGCGGCGATTTTTGCAGAGACAAAATAATGAAAATGGGTTCATTTCAATGTTTGAAAATAAAATATACATGGTTAACAGATACTCTCAAGTTATTTTAATGACATTTTGTTGATTGGTGTGGAGATTTATTCTTGATAGTTGCCGTAAATATATTTCTCTCCTCATGAATAGTTATAAGTTTTCATTAAATTACATCATGAATTATCCCACGCTTTGGATACTATACTTCTAGAATAAGCTTTTGCAAAAAGAAGGGCAGTGTTTTAAGTCCTGTTTAATTTTTTGTCTTTGTAAATATATTACACTTTTGATATAATAACTTCAATAATTAATGATAGTGTTTCATTAAAGCAATCAGCCTGTAACTGACGGTAACTTTTGCTTGACATAATGAGTATTGTTTAACACCTACCCTTAAAACTAAGATAACAACAAAGTTATTGTACAAAATTTAGAATGATAAATAAAATAAAACTGTGTAATTGCATGCATGCTGAGCAGTATTCTTTGAATAGTCATTGCCTAATTATCTCATCCTCGCAAGCCAGGGGTCCTGAGTCAACATGTTGCCGTTGGACCCCTGGCATATTTCATTCAATATTTGTGGGCTGACTGTAGCTACATCTTTTGGAAAAATTACAAATCTTGATTGTTTTTCTTATCTCTCAACCAATCACATTAAGCCACTCTATGATAAACAACTTGTAATACGTGCATTTGAGGTGTCAACTGAATCCTTATCTAACTATTTATGAAAGCTTTAATTTGATTGGTGCTTCTCGATGAGAGAAGCAAGCCCACGAATATTGGATGAAATATGCCAGGGGTCCAATGGCAACATGTTGACTCAGGACCCCTGGCTTGCGAGGATGTAATTATCTCTCAGACACAAAAACTACAGAAAGGATGCTGCATGTTATATCAAGGTTATAAATATGAAGACAATGTCAGCTGTAAGTTATACCTATACATTTCATCTGTATTTGAAAGTTCTATTGTGCCTCCAATGAAATATACCCTTTAAAAAGTGTAAGATAAAAAACGAAAACTTCACATATACATTAAATTGTAGGGTTTTCTTGCAGAATCAGTGGGCTTAATTTAGGTCAATCTTCTCCGACGTGTGTTTACAGAACCTCCTATAGCGCAATTACCTGCTACATTCCAAACTGCAGAGTCGGTGCATATATTAAGACTACATATGGGAAATAGTGACTGAAAAATATTCTGTTCTTTTTCTTCTTCTATTTTTTTTTTTCAAAACTGTATAATGTATACAAGAAAAGTAAGACTATTTACAATTATTGAAGTCTTTGAATTTTTTTTAGAAATAAGTTACATTAAATATCATTGAATATCTCGAACACCTTTCCATTGAAAATAATGCACATCTAACTTAGAAGAGTGTCTAAGTGGAACCACTCATGCATGTATAGAGAGCTATACTGAAATTATTAAGTTTGGTTACATCATGAATATATAAGAACCTTTGCTTCAATTGAGGGTTAACCATCGCTGGATACAGATGGGTGATCTCATCTTTTACTTATCACCGGTGGGCAAACTCGCTGAAAAATCATTGTATGTTATTAATAGGCGCGGGTCATTTGATTGGCTGCTGCACAGAGTCGTAATGGCAAACAATGAATCAAAGTTCACGTTACCATGGTTACGTATTTATGCTTGGCAATGCCAATAACTTCTCTGTAGTTAACCCATCGATTGCTAATCAATCCATTCACTGGTGCATTTTGCAGTTTGAGAAAGGCATTTCCATACAATTTCAATCTGCCTATGCCATGAAATTCTCAAATGTGTTTTTTATTTTAAATTTGCAATAATGATTGCATACCACAATAGTACATATCCCCCCCCCCCCCACCAAAAAAAAACCTTGAAATGATCAAAATTTTATTTCTGACATTTCAGCACATTTTTATTCTTCAAACCTTATTTTAGAATAAACCTAATTTAGAAAATTTTATATAATAAATTGTTTAACACCTTCAATTAATACATTTCTCATCATAATGATGCAAATAAAATTAGTTTACTCACCAAATACATGTATTGTGAAAAATTGCAGTAAACTTTCATAATTTCCATTACTTTTTACAGATTCTCTATCATCTGATACCCATGGGTGATCTCGTCTTTTACTCATCACCAGTGGGCAAACTCGCTGAAATATCATCATTAAAATATGCTAATTTGTTGATTTGTTGTTTGCTATCACCATTCTGTGGAGCAGCCAATCAAATGACCCACGCATATTTATTACATGTTTTGGCAAGTTTGCCCAGGGGTGATGAGTAAAAGACAAGATCACCCGTGGGTGTCCGATGATGCAGATTCTCGTAACATTTTATTTCATATACTTCACTGTCTATCAGTACACACAGTTCTTTGATTTTTCCAATGAAAGAGTTAAAAAGGTTACATTTTGTAATGGACATTGAACTGCCCCAATGCAGAAGGCGAATTTCCAGATTAAAGGGACTTAATAATGTGGGGAAAAATCAAATCGTCCCCCACCCACACCCCCAAAAAAACATCGGGAAGGTGAAGTGTCAGGATTACTTATGTCCAGATAAGTATGGGGCCACTGCATGTACATGTTTGTCACAATAAGCCTACCTGGGTTTTACTGTCAAGCAAGGAGTCAATCTCTCTCTCCTATATAACTTCATAAAATCTCCACTTAAGAAAAACTTGCATGCTAGTCAAAGAAAGTGTAGTGTTTTAAAACATTATGATGAATGACATTTGATAAGACCATAACCTTCCATTCAAACAAAAAATTTTACCACTTCAGTGCACATCATTGTACTTAAAACATAGTCCTTGGTTGTCAAACGATTATGTTGTTCATGCTTAATTTTGAGTTGCTTCTCTACTGTCAATTGATGTATTGCTAATTTTTTACCAAACTCAATGAAGAATTTTGATGAATTGTATTTGTTGGGGTCAATTTTTAGCTCACCTCGACGAAGCCAAGATGAACTTATGCTGTACCCTCGGCATTGGCGTCGGCGTTAGCGTCAGTGTCTTGGTTAAAGTTTAAGGAGCAAGTCCATTCCCAAGTAACTATAAGCCCTACCTGGACCAAACTTGCAAGGATGATGCATCTAGGGATGGACACTACAACACTTGCTTTGGATGCTGGATCTGACCTACATTTTCCAGATGAGTGACCAGGTAAAAGATTTTGGAGTAGCAGTATAGTTATGTGGCCTGTTATAATTAAACTTGCACAGATGATGCATTTAGGGATGAACACTTCCAGACTTGCATTGGATGTTTGAACTGACAGACATTTTGTTGATTTTAAGTGACCAGGTTAAAATTTTTGGAGCAGTTTCATTTCCAAGTAACTATAAGTCCTAGTTAAACCAAAGTTGCATAGGTATTGATTTCAGGATGCACACTAACTATAGAAAAAAAATATGATGTGAGATTTGCCTTACTTATAGATACCATTCGTCGAGGTGAGCTTAGTATTTATCTTTGATTACCTATGTTTAGAGAACAATCTAAAGTCTGTCTGGTAATTTGATGTTTTTAATTAGATACCAATTAGCAAGTTCAAATTAACTGAGAAATATCCATCTAGTCTTGTTATTCATTTTTTACTTGTAGAATTCAGTACGGCATGTACTGTCCCTTCAAAGCTGCTTTATGAAGGTTCCACAACTTGAGGATGCATCTCAAAAGGGTTCATTTTGGAGGCTAGATGTTGAAAAGCTATCATATGATAAGTTGAGAAGACTGCAAGAGAAGTTAGTACGACGCCGCAAACCACTTACTAAAAGGTTTTATATTATTATGATTATATAACATCATGAGGGTTGTCCATAAAGGTCGTGGACAGTGATGTTTTTGTTAAACTGAGTTATTCTTATTGTATACCAAAATATTTGTTATGAAAAACCAAGTCAGAATAATTTGGTTTTGATTGTTTGAACTTAATGATTTTTTAAAAATCGGGGTCTTTAAAGGTTGAAGATAGTGTGCACGGCCCAGGGGTAAAATGCCATAAACTTTAAAATAAAGCTATCATCATTTTCTGACATCTTAAGTATCGCTTATTGTACAGATAGTGAAAATTTAAAAAAAAAACCCTGCAAGAAATATGTTTCAAAAATTGACAGAAAAAGCGATGTCGCTCATCTGAACGGAACAACTTCGAATCATAAAATTATGATTTAATGTGGTCAGAGACAAAAAAAATTATTCAAACAACTTGAACTTATTGGAATATATTTAGTTAGTTGTTTTGAAAGTAGAATATATGATTTTTGAACGGTGTATACAATTTTGGAGACACTACAAGAAGTGGAAAATCACTGTTACTAGTATTGGATAAAAAAAGAAAGGATATCCCTTATTCATGACATTGTTATAAATCTAGCACAATGTCAGACTAGGCTGCACAGCTTGTGTATAAGAAGTGTTTAAACTGATGACGCTCGTAAATTATTGTGTATTGAATGATGTGAAATTTAAAAATTAAATCAATAATGTTCCATACATCAATAATATTGCACACGTTTGGCAGTGTGGCATAAAAATGAAAAGAAAATTTAGACTGTATCGAAGAACGTAATAGAAATTCAAAATCCATTTTCAGCTCAGCTGAGCCAAAGGCTCAAGTGAGCTTTTCTGTCAAAATTTGTCCGTTGTCTGTCTTCGTTGTCATTGGCGTTGTTGTTGTTGTCGTAAACTTTTCACATTTTCATCTTCTTCTCCAGAACTACTTGGCCAATTTCAACCAAACTTGGCACAGAGTATCCTTGGGTGAAGGGGATTCAAGTTTGTTCAAATGAAGGGCCACGCCTTCTTCCAAGGGGAAATAATTGCGAATTCATGAAAAATTTATGGCATCTTTCAAAAATCTGCTTCTCAAGAACCTTTGTGTTAGAAAATATGAAACTTATTTGGAAGCATCTTCAGGTAGTGTAGATTCAGGTTTGTTCAAATCATGACCCCCAAGGGTAGGGTGGGGCCACAGTGGGCGATCAAATTTTTACATAGGAATCCATAGGGAAAATCTTCCAAAATTTCCTTCACAAGAACAGCAAAGCCTTGATTGGTCATATTTATATGGAAGCATCCTCAGGTAGTGTAGATTCAAGTTTGTTCAAATCATGACCCCCAAGGGTAGGGTGGGGTCACAGTGGGTGATCAAAGTTTTACATAGGAATATAGAGGGAAAATATTCAAAAATCTTCTTCTCAAGAACAGCAAAGCTATGATTGGTCATATTTATATGGAAGCATTCTCAGGTGGTGTAGATTCAAATTTGTTCAAATCATGACCCCTAGGGGTAGGGTGGGCCACAATGGACAATCAAAGTTTTACATAGGAATATGTAGTATAAATCTTAAAAAATCTTCTCAAGAACAGCAAAGCCATGATTGGTCATATTTATGTGGAAGCATCCTCAGATAGTGTAGATTCAAGTTTGATCAAATCATGACCCTCAGGGGTAGGTAGGGGCTACAATGAAAGTTTAAACTTGTAGGAAAAAAGTCACAGTAAGTCCGAAAAAAATATGTAAGCATCCTAAGTTAGTGTAAATTCAATTTTGTTAAAATCATACCCCCTCCCTTTTAGGGGTAGGTCGGGACCACTTATGCACTTAAGCATTGCAATACTAAACTGATGTTTGCTTTTTTCCTAGCCACAGTGCTCAGGTGAGTGATGTGGCCCCTGGGCCTCTTGTTTTTAATGTTATCATGAAATTAGCTTTACGTCAGTCTGGGCCGTGCGGCTTGTATATTCAAAGTATTTACACCTTTAACGTTCATAAAATAGTGTGTATTATTAATTCCCTACCGGTGAAATCGGTGGGGACTATAGGTTTCCTCTGAGTCTGTCCGTCCGTCTGTCTAGCTGTCTGTCTGTCCATCTGTCTGTCTAGCTGTCCCTATGTCAGTCTGTCCCACTCGGTTTTCTGCACCTTTTTTCTAAACGCTTGCAGATATTGAGTTGATTTTTGGTATACGAGTGTATCTTAATGAGTTACAGATCACGTTTGCATTTTGTTCCACTTAAATGATTTTTGATGGAATTATGACCTTTTCAATTTTTCAGGGTTTTCCGAAAATTTTTTTCTAAACGCTTGAAGATATTGAGCTGATTTTTGGCATGTGACTTTACCATGATGAGTTATAGATCAAGTTCGCATTTCATCCCGCTTCATTGATTTTTGATGGAATTGTGGCATTTTCAATTTTTAACGGGAACCAAATTACACTTGCCAGTAGGGGACTAGTATTGCTAATGCAATACTCTCAGAATGCTTGTTTTAATTTTAATATTTTTATTAAGTCATGGTTTCTATTAAATTTATTATTGTACATGTCTGCCAGTGCGGTCATTATTAAGAAAATTATAGCATTTGTCCACAAACTTTATGGACAACCCTTTTATATACTGAAAGGAAAAAGAAATGCAGGGTAAACTTTTGAGGTGAAATAATGTTATTTTTTCTTGTGTATTTTCCTTTATTCTTAACTAACATTTAAAATCATCTTTCATGAAAATGTAACCAAAATCTCATTTGATTTTGCTTTATAATTCATGAGTTATTGCAACTCATATGATGATATCCCCCAAAAATCTCATTATCTTCAATGCTTCACTCATGCATCTGTCTGAGCCTTGATTTGCCTTTGCATGGAGTTCATCAGTGTGTTTATCCTTCAAACAGGGATATTATTCAACCCTTTCCACAAGGCAGCCCTTAGTTGAAAGAGACCAGCTTGGGCATTTCGAACCCTATCATCCACTTAGTCCCAAAGATGTTCAATGAGAAAAAGTTGGACTTTACGGAGACCAGTCGAGTAGATAAATGTGATTGTTTGTGAGAAAGTCTTGACAAAACCTTGCTACATTGTACCTGGGGTAAACACCGAAAAAAAATTAGGCAAACGACACACACATGCGCCAGTGAGAGGAACATCAACATAAAGTTGGCAAGCTCAAAAAACAAAATTGCGCAATCGATTTCTTTCAGTTTTCGGGTGAATGTTATGATTGTGATAGCCTACTGTATCTAAAGCAGTTTTAGTTGAAGTAAAGTTGCAATTAAACAGGTGGAAAGATGAATAACCCAACCTTGATGTGGCTCTGTTTTGCATCAACGTCATCAACACGGTTGATTGGAAACCATTCCAGAACCTCTATGACAATGGGTAAAACTATCTTTGGGGAAAATTTTCAAGAAACTTCACAGTAACCCGTTGTTGCCTTTTTCCATACTTAGGCAATGTAATAGCCAGACCCCATGGAACTTTGGTAAATTGTACCATGATTGCAAGAAATTCATCTGTTAATATCGAAAAACAATGTGTATACCTTAAGTGCATCAAATGGCACAAGAAGTGTTGACAAATTTGTTGTCATCAATTTGCACGTGTTTTTGGCTTTTTACCTATGTGACGTCATACATTCTACAGTTGAGTAATTCTGAACACTGATTTTAGTGCACAGTAACCAAGATTCTCATTAGGCCAGTTTTTGTAATTTTCAGTGATGCAGTCAAAACATTTTCGCATATTAAGTTACCCTGCGTTTCTTTTTCCTTTCAGTATATATTAGTTTTTGTCTCACAACCAAAATGTAGGTTACTGTGGCCTCATTTTGTGAAAGAAAATATTTTAGATTATTTGTTATTTTATGAATTTCCAGGTCACTTCCTACCTCTTCCAATCACACAGTTAGAACCTTCAAACTTATTAATAAAAAGTTATGTGGAAAAAAGAATCCAAGTTCAAAGGGATTGGAGGGTGACAGTCAACCAGCCCCGCTGTTGACAGCAGGTACTGTGATCTTCTACATGCTCTAGAGCTCAAAAATTTGTATGTAGAGAGAAATCAAGTAAATTGTCATACATGTACAGTGTATTTGCTATTTTGAAGCACATGTTTCACTATAAAGCAACATTTGTTTGTGAAACACTGATGCCCCTGTATGGCAACTTATAGCAAAGGTTAAACTTTCTCAGATGCAAATCAAATATGATGGTGCACAAAGTAAGGTCTTGTACCAAAGAATATACCTGTGAAATATGAAAGCCCTTGCAGCAACCATTAAAAAGATGTAGAAAAGGTAAAAGTTTTTCAAAAGTAAGTCAAACATCAAGGTCATGGTCAAATGGTCAAAATTAATGGTGCCCAAGGAAAGGCCTTCTCAAAAGAAATGCACATGTGAAATATGAAAGCCCTTGCACCAACCGTTTAAAAGATATGGCCAAGGTTAAAGTTTTTCAAAAGTAGGTCAAACTCCAAGGTCAAAGTCAATGGGCTCTAATTGTTGGTATCTAAAGGAAGGACTTGTCACAAGAATTATACCTGTGAAAAATGAAAGCCCTAGCACCAACTGTTCAAAAGTTATGGCCAAGGTTAAAATTTTCCAAAAATAGGTCAAACTCCAAGGTTAAGGTCAATGGGTCAAAGTTGTTGGTATCCAAAAGAAGGTCTTGTCACAAGGATTACATATGTGAAGAATGAAAGACCTAGCACCAACCATTTAAAAGATACGGCCAATGATAAAGTTTTTCAAAAGTAGGTCAAACTCATAGGTCAAGGTCAAAGGGTCAAAGTTGTTGGTATTCAAAGGAAGGTCTTGTCACAAGTGAAGAATGAAAGCCATAGCTTTAACCGTTCAAAAGTTAAAGCCAATGTTAAAGTTTTTCAAAAGTAGGTCAAACTCCAAGGTCAAGGTCAAAGTTGTTGGTATCCAACGGAAGGTCTTGTCACAAGGAATACACATGTGAAGTATGAAAGCCCTAGCGCCAACTCTTTAAAAGTTATGGCCAAGGTTAATTTTGTAAAACTGGTTCAAACTCTAAGGTCAAGGTCAAAAGGTCAAATATGATGGAACCCAAAGAAAGGTCTTGTCACAAGGAATACACGTGAAATATGAAAGGTATAGTTTCAACCAATCAAAAGTTATGAGCAATGTTAAAAGTTTTTGCGGACAAACAGACAGCTAGACAGACAGACGGAGGACAGGGCAAAAACTATATACCCCTGAGTCTTTGATACTGGCATATAAAAATGTTAAATGTACCATTATTACCCATTACACCCAGGGTCCAAGATATTGCATATCTCAGAACTATGATATATCTCTATATCTGATACCGTAAATCTGGAAATTTTTATGTCGATTTATTTTTGAGAATTTGGGTCAAAAAGCTGTTGATTAATTTTTACGTTTCAAAATTTTGCGAATTGTCTTTGGTGCTAAAATTAAAAAAGAGCTTAAAAATTTTCATAACAGTTGATAAGTTATGCATGTACATGTACATACAATAAATCACGCACATACATACAATATTAAACGATGCCAATGTTCAATAATCAGATTATAAATTACGCATGTACATACAGTAAATTATGCATGTACATACAATATTAATTGATGCCAACATTCAAAAATCAAATAAAAATATAATAAGAGATAATACATCTAAACTGTTTAAAGTTTTCTACACTTTATTAAATCAATTCTCGTTAACAATCTGTCGTAAACACTTGTTCACCGGGTTAAAAATAGACACCAGCTGTCAGAAAAAAATTTGTTTACATTTTTTGTTGCTGATTTATTTTTAAGAAAAATATTTTTGCGTATGCACTGCATGCGCAAATTTTCTAAAAATTTATCTACAGTAAAAATTTCCAGATTTACGGTATTTGTTTATCTGCTCATGGACTCATAATTGTGTGGAAACCACAAAGTCATTGACCATAATTTATTAATTTTTGGCAAATAAACTTTTCCATACAAGGATATAGGTGTCTGTTCACCAAGCTTATGATATATGGCATGCATGTACTATTAGTTACACTATTATAGTCATCTAGTATCTTGTGATTGGATGTTGGATAATTTCTGATCATGATTAAAACAAAAATTGAATCTACACTACCTGAGTATGCTTCTGTATTAATTAGGGATGTCAACGAGTACCTGGTTAACCGGGTACTCGATCGAACGTCCGAGTATCGAATACTAAATTCGGTACTCGGTTACTCGGATGTATATTTTTTCGTATTTCAAAGTGCAAATATTTATTAAAAACTTTTATCTAAATATGCACTGTCCATGTCCATACAGTAATGAGCGTCACCTCCACCAGTTAATACCCGTTATCGCTTGTGGCTGTGTACATGGATACATAGTAATTACCGTGACCAATCACCTGACACTGAACACAGCTGTCCTCATCTCTTGTGGCCTTAATTTTTGGATGGCTTCAATTATTTGATTTCAATGTTTCAATCGTTTAATTAGATACATTAATTATCCTTAGATTATTTAATTAGCATACTGTAGCGAAATCGGACATACCTAGAAATACCGCTACCAATTCAAAAGTGGAGAAATGTTTAAAAATAACCGAAGATTTAAAAAAAAATGTTAAAAGTCAGCTGTGTGTAGAAAATTAAGCATATACTGGGGGGGGGGGGGGGGGGAGGAGGGGGCAATATATATTTAAGGAATCACTGTCTAGTTTTTTAGGAAGAGGAAATCGTCATATTTAATTTTCAGATTTATCACCCCAAAAAAAAAAAATTTGGAAATGTCAATAATATACGACACTCGATCACACCAACGTTATTCTTTTTCGCTAGTCTAATCATTACTAAGTTGCATCCTTCTTTCCGTTGATCAAAATGTTTTCCTAAACAAGAACTTTAAACTTATGCATTAATTTTGTAGTCATTGGTCATGTCTTTTGTGTTTGTTTGATACATAAATTAAGTACCAAATATCATTTTCGTTGGTCTCGAAGATAAGAACTACTAAATTGTTTGTAGCATATAATATGTATGTACATATTTAATATATATAACACTGAAAGAATCAAATAGTTTTATATATGTAGGTCTATATATGTATATATATAATGTAGCAAGTCTATTGAAATTATTATATATAACTTTTCATTTTATATATTTCATGTCATACTATCTGTTGTGCCATATGGCATACGGAAAATAAAGAATTGAATTGTACATGCATTAAAAACGAAAGAAAACATCGATGGGGTATACAGGTGACCGTTTCACTAACAGATCGTAGCTCGTAAACGTGGACGTAAATGTGAACGTAGCACGTAAGTGCGTTTCACTAAGAGTTACGATTTGCGAGTTACGATTAAAGTTGATCGTAAGTCTACGAGTAGTCAGGGGCACTCTTAAGATACTTACGTGCAAGTAATTTCATGAAAAAAAGCAACACAAAACAGAAATATAAGCAAGATTCCAAAAGATTGTCACTTTTACTTTCCTACTGTCTGCTTTCCTTGCAAGTAAATTGTGAAGACCGAGTCCGATCTTAAATACACGCTAAAACATACTTGCAATGAAAAAAATGCGTTAAAAGTTTAATATTTCTTTTTTGAGCTTATCTATTTACAGTTTTTATTTCAAAATAATACTCGTGTATTCTATAATGAAACCCTGTGCATATTCAATCATAATGGCATTTTTATTTTTTCTTTATTTAGTTGCTCTCTGAGAAGTGGTTGAAGCAGAAAAACTATCGAAATAATACATATTAATATAGGCAGGGATCTATATACTAAGTATATACGTCCATGATAGAAGTAATTCATTTTTAAAAATACTTTGACAAACCTGCATATGGGGAGTATCGACAATATTTTAAAAAAAAAAAAAACAATATTATTTAAAAAATTCAATAATGAAAGTAGAATTAAATAAATAAACATACCGATTTTAAAAATGATTAGCTTTTGGACAGAAACAGGAAACAAGGCAGAGGATCGTTTAAAGTTCTAAACATTCGGAAAACTTTGTTTTCAAATGTTTAGATATACATGTACGAGTGTGTCATAAATTTGCAATTTTAGCTTGAAGTAAAATGGAACGTTATATACCATCGTGGACTATACTTGTTAATTATAAGACATAAAATGCAAGAATAAATTTAGATAATTGATATGTATAATTTGATCCCGGTGAAAAAGGAACTTTCATTTAATATATATTATAAATATAGATATATACTTTTATTAGTAAACGATTTTTCCATTAATTAATTGTCCTTTTATTTCTTTTTGAAGACTGAGAAAAATTCATGGTGATTTTTTTTTAGTTATGATCTTTTCCTTTCTTTACGGTTCTTTTTTTTCTTTCTTTCTCTTCAACAAATACACCTCCTCAGTCAGAAGAGTTCCAATAAGTTGGTCGTAACTCGCTTATCGTAAGTGCTACGTCTACGACGTGTTTTGTGAAACGCTCGTATACATTCACGTAAAATAATCGTAAACGTAATCGTACATTTACGATCTACGATTTATTAGTGAAACGGTCGCCAGGTCTGTAAATCAACAAACTTTTACATGTAAACACACTTTTTCCGAGTACCTGGGTACTCGATCGGAAAATCGCCCGAGTAACCGATTATCAAATATTGACCGATTTGACATCCCTAGTATTAATATTACTAATCATGACAATTTGCTGTTCTTGAGAAGATGTTTTTTAGATAGTTCCCATATATTCCAATGTACAGTTTGATCCCCTGTTGTAGCCCCCAGGGGTCATGATTTGAACAAACTTGAATCTACATGTACACTCCCTGAGGATGCTTCTATATTTAATTCAATATACAAATGTATTACTAATCATGGCTTTGCTGTTCTTGAGGAGAAGATTTTGGAAGATATTTCCTTCATGCTCCTTTGTAAAACTTTGATCCCCTGTTGTGGCCTCACCCTAGCCCCAGGGATCATGATTTGAAAAAAATTGAATCTACACATGTAATGAAGGTTTCACATAAGTTT